GAGGGCTGCGCATTCTGGGTCCTCCCAAGTACGATCCCTCCGCTCCTACATATGACGCGCCCATGTTAATTCATATTATAGAGTGCCTGTGAGGGATGACGACACATCCCCTTTCACTTCGATAGCTTTCAAAATGCACGAGTTTATTCGCTAAGTCTCGACGTACCCGGGTTGTGATGATGTATCCCCTTCCTTCTTTTCTTGTATTTGTAAGTGCATGTATATAATCCCGAGCCAGCTCAATAGCGTGTCCGCTAAAATTCTCATTTAGACCGTAAGTATCCACGCACTTCGACTCTGGAGAGTTGAAGCCTGACAATAATATTAAATAATGCATGAGCTGAGAGCGCTTACGTCAGAATCAGGTAGCGCACTTAAGCTAACCACCTACCACCATCATACCTAGATCTGTGTTTGAGAACAATGAGCGTGGCCGCATTGCAGCTGCCAGCGAATCTCGCGCTTTCCTCTCTATCGGCGCCCCGGCAAGACTTTATCCGATCGCTGCCCAAAGCTGAGTTACACGCACACCTGAATGGCTGTATTCCGCTACGCTGTCTCCAAGAACTCTATCGCGAACGGGCGGCATCGTCCACCAGTCCGCTCCCAGAAGACGACGTGATCAAGAAAGGGCTCGATTTGCTGGAGAGAGGGGCGATGCTCAATGACATCAACGATTTTTTCGTCATCTTTCCAAAAACCATATACGCGCTCACATCGAACATACCCGCGATTTCCCGCGCGACGTCTGCCGTTCTGGAGTCGTTTTTGTCGCCGGGTGTGACGGCTCCGGAAGATCCACCGCAATGCGCGTATTTGGAACTGCGCACGACGCCCAGACGGACGCCGACGCGACGCGAGTATCTGTGCGCTGTGCTCGATGAGGTCGAAAAGTACGCTGCATCGCAGGCGGCGCTAATTGTCAGCGTCGATAGAAGGATGGCCATGGAGGATCTGGACGAGTGTGTCGACCTTGCTATTGTCTTGAAGCAGGAGGGGAGGCGCGTCGTTGGCTTGGACGTCTGCGGTGATCCGTCTGTGCGTTCATCGCGTTTCTGATATACAGATTGATAGCTGACTCTTTCTTTAGCAAGGAGATATGGCGACGTTTGCTCCGGCATTAAATCGAGCAAAAGCATCAGGACTCGCTCTTACTTTACATATAGCCGAAGTTAGTGCATCTGTTGCGTTGCTCGGCCTCATTTTAATCTGTGATCTGTTTGCTCCAGATTCCTGAATATCCCACCTCAGACGTAGCTGCGTTATTGTCTACCCGGCCCGCACGGCTTGGCCATGCTACGTTCCTGGATCCAGAGGCCCAAGAGCTCGTCCGGCGTGACAAAACTGTCATCGAGATCTGCCTCAGTTCAAACCTCCTGTGAGCGCTACACATACTCTTGTGCGCGCTTTCTTACTCACACCAAAATTACACGCCAATGAAGATGTAACTCTACGACGAGCTTAGACGCGCACCACATCCAATACTATCTAGAGCACGACCATCCTATCGCCATCTCAGTAAGTTCGCCTGGTGTCTGCTCTTGCGTAAACTGACCTATGTAATACGCTCATCTCCTAAAGACAGACGACACCCTCGTTTTCAGGAACACGCTGGCGGGCGAATATGCACTTTTACTGGCGCAGCCGCCTCTAGGACTGGGTTTGAGCGAAGCAGAGGTCGCAAGAGTAGCCGCAATGAGCATGGACGCCCGGTTCCTATAAACATCATTTACATTCTATGGCCTCGCGTATAAAGTGCAGTTCTGTAATCCAAGGTTGGAAGAATCGAAATAGTTTAAACCTTTGCGAGCGCCCGTCTCCATATAAACTTGGCAGCCTCGATTGACATCTCGGGAGTGAGCTTATGGCCCACGCCAGCCTGCACGATGACTTTTTTCTCTCCGCGTTCTCCGACTTCGAGCCGCTTCACAAAGTCTTCGCTGCAGGTCCACGGCACGACCCTGTCTTCCGCCCCCGACAGGACGAGTATAGATTTGTTGAGGAACGGATTGTTGGGGCCTTTGGACGCGAACGGGGCGCCTGCTGGACCATGCTTGGAGATGTAGGTCCTGAGTGAGTTTGGGAGGTATGGCGGAACCAGTTTGAGGGAGTTGCGTTCTGCTCGTTGAGTCATAAGTGCAAGAAGGTCGGGGCATCCTGTTTTGGCCCGTGCGCGCGTCAGTGTTTTCAGCCTTCTACCTCTACAATGGAGGTGATTAGGACCGACCGATGATGGGAATGCCAATCTTCACTCGGGGTTCTAGTGACATCAGATCAGCACCTGAAGCAGCGAAAAGGTCAGATGAGAGTGGGCTGTACCATCCTTCAGCAAAACCCAGGCGGAATGGCCTCCGAGGCTTACTCCGGCGACCGCCCACTCGACGATTTCCCTTTCATCCAGCGGATAGAGGTAGGCCGGGAGAAAGTCTATCAGAAAAGACACGTCTCTCGCAGTTCCATCTAAGATAAGTTGGGAATACGCTTAAGCTTAGATCGAGCAGCGAGCGAGGGAGAAAGCCAAGCCTTACCTAGAACCGTGTACATGTCCACTCTGAAAACGTAGGCACAATTCACACGCAGGATAAGACAATAGTAGTAGAAACAAACTTACGCGTGTCGCTCATTGCCATCTCTCCACCCCTTATTCGCCTTTTCATCTATCAATCTAGACCCGTGGTTTCTGTGGTCCTAGAGCAGCCAGTACCCAAGCTCAGCTCAAGGCCAGCATAATAGTAGAGCCATGGACGCACAAGCGTAACAACGATGAGGTCGCGTGCAGCTTCCTCTCCGTTCGCTTGTCTCTCTTTGGCGTGATTCAAGATCGATATCGCGAATCCCTCGACAGCGGCTGCACTTCCCAACCTCCCGTGGATGATGAAGAGCGCTGCGACCGGCAACTCCGATTCTCCCGAGGCTCCGAATACTTGGACTTTGAGCCCACCGACTAGGAGAGAGGTCTTTGTGATCGCGTCCGAGTCGGCCATCGAGCCAAGTATGGTATATGACTGATCGCCAGTCGATGTGAGCAAGATGGCTGTGCATCCCAAAGCCATCGCCTTTACTCCACCAGCCTCCGTGCAATTTTTTCGTGGTGTTCTACGTTCGCTAACAATCGTCTGTTTGCATGTGTGACCACATTTTTCTATGCGGATGTGACATGACTTAGTGACTCCTGTGCCCCAAGTGCAATTTGCAACTTGCACCTCAAAGCAAGCCAGATCAAGTATTTGGGCGCTTGAACGCTCGCCAAGGCCCCCACTTACACGATGTCCGATACTTCACGGAGCCCTCACTGCAGGCCCACCGCATGAGCTTATTTCCTGCCTTCGAAAGGGCAAGGATTCACTTGCTGAGAAGCGGATTATCGGCGCCTTTCGAACGAACTGTATGCTGGCTCATGCTTGCAGAAGTAGGAACCGAGTAAATCTGGTGGGAGAAAAAAAGAGAGAGAGATAGGATGGGCTGCCTGCCCTCCCATGAAGGATGAGGAGCGCTGCGGTCGACGGGTCCGACTCTAGCAGAGAGAATACTTGCGATTCCCCAATTCGAACTCGATCCTCCCTGGTCGCCAGGCTGAATGTCCAAGTCCAGGCATCGGATTGAATCCGACCGAAGGTCGGGATATTGGCTTTCTTTCTTATTTGGCGTCAGAAGAAGCCATGTGAGTCTAGAACATCTATACGCATGGCCCCTGCGCCCCCTACGAATCCTCGGGGCTCTCACCCTGCAGCTAATTAGCCGACCAACGTTCGAGGGATTTGAGCACGACACTCCACCATATCGGCTGAGTCGTCTCGACGAAAACCCGGTCACCCAATATCGCGTTGGACGTCGATAGGAGACCCTCGAGCGACGTTTCCTGATCGGCTAATGTGGTTGGGAACCGGAGTGTAAGACGTCAGGAGGGGTGCAAAAAATATCCCGAAGAGTACGAACTCAGGTCCCACTGCAAGCCACGGGTGGTGACAATGGAGGAAGCGATGCCGATAGGGAGAAGCCCACACGTCGGGCCGAGCAGAGCGCAGTCTATTTCAATCTCGTGTGTTCCCTAATTTCGAAAGAGCGAGGGGTTAAGGCCACGGTCATATACGACGAGAAAAAGAACGCACAGAATCAAGCACCCACGAGATGTCGTCGTCTGTGGCTACGTATACATGCCCACGGGTTTTGCGAAGCTTATAAACCTGCGCTATCGTAGAAACGGTCTGGTCTATTCTCCCCGAAAGGCCGCCCAAAATGATGATTGGGAACTGGATATATACTATCAGTAGGTTCGACCCAGAGTGACGGGCAAAGGAGACAGACCTGAGTAGCGGCTTTTGCTTCGATTCTCAAGAGGCTCTGAAAACATTTCATTAAATCGGTCGAGTACTGGTCATGGTCCTGCACAATCTCGACACCTTCCTGAAAGTCATAAGAGTTATTGCATTAAGACGGGAAATCGACGAAACATTATGCTCACCTCTTCGTAGTATTTTCTAACGTCAGGCCGGAGTGAGTCCAAGTCGCCTTTGATTAGGTCGGGAAGGAAACTGGTCCAAGGTTGGGAATAAATACGACGCCGGTATAGCTGACGGCCAACCTACTCGCGTGTCTTTCCGGTCCCAACGAGAATGTCATATAGACGATTGGCGCCGCCGTCTGCGCAGCACCTCCACGAGCCTGAGTAGACCCCGTTTTCAGTCTAAGGGAGAGGTGCATAAATGGAGTTTGTCATACAAGATTTCCACAGCTGCTCGAGCAGCAGAAAACTAAATGGCTGGTTCAAAATTATCAGAGCTGCAGGCGACGTTGACTGTGGTTGGCGAGATAGGAACGTTGGCGACCATTTTCTGAGGGTAGGTGGTGGCGCAGAGGCATCAAACGACATGGCTATCGGCGTGGTTGGATCGATGTCAACGGCGAGTGACTTGACGGATCGGATCGGTCTGAAACACTGAAATTAAAAATGAAATAAGAGAGATGATCGGAGGGAAGAACAGCAAGACAAAAAAAAGATATGCCCTCACACCGATTCGAACGATGGACCTTTACATTACTAGTGTAACGCTCTACCAACTGAGCTATAAGGGCTGTCGAGAACGTCTGAAGGATAGCGCATATGAGCACTCAAATTACACGGACGCGCGATCACCTCGCAGGGGCATGAAAAAGCGGCTTCAATACGTTGAAACCGCTAGAGCGGGTGTTGAAGCTGAAAGTTTGAAATGTCGAAACGTTTGCTGACCCTTGGCGGAGCGTACTCGGCCACCAGTGATGGTCTAGCCCAGCACTGTACAAGCACGCCGCACCGAGATGGAGCTCCAAGGCCGCTCGAGTTGAGAAGTGGGGTCGCCTCGTCCATAACGAGGCAAGTGCAGCCTACTTTCCGACGTCATGGGTTCTCCGAATATCGAAACTACACCGAAAATGCGGTGAAGAGGTGTACCTGGCCTTTTCCGTCTTTGGGACGAGATTGCTTCACCACGGCCATTATGTGGCTTTTCATCGATGACGAGCGCTAAAAAAACCTCTTTCGGTGACACAAAACGGGCCGTATCTTTGCTCGAAAGACGGATCAGAAACGGGGGAGGGGAAAAGCGCTTCACAGAAGGCCGAAGAAACATTCCATTGGTATGATGCAGTGCGGCAGGTGGTATGGGCGGTGTAAAACGAGGGGTGGAGTGGGTCAGCTAGCGACAAGATGGAGCGAGGGGAGGGTGGGGTGGCCACAACTGATGCGTGTGGTTAGAAAAAGGAAAAAGAGGGAAATGCAGCAGGCAAGCAAGCAAGGAGAGAGGAAAATCGTAAAAAATCGTAAACAAGAAAAAGATGAATAAACGGTGACGATGGTGTTTTTACATGGAAATAGTGAGGAAAGAAAGATTACGGACGCGCCGGCTCGTCCGTCATCGATCGCGCGGGCTGGTGCCGGGACTGGGGCCCTGAGCGTTGAGAGCTCTCTCGATCTCCTCTAGGGCGCCCTCGAACTTGAGTTTCGTGGTTCTGGTCACGTAGTGAGGCTCGTGGCCGTCGGCCGAAGGCCGTGAGGGATTGAAGAGCGGAACGAGATTCGCCGGCTCCGAGTGCTTTCTCGTATGCGGGGGCGGCGAGGATGCGCCATACGACTGTGATGTTAATGGTTCGAGATCCATCAGCGGGGAGCTGGGGGTGGGCGGGGGGAGCCGCGGGGGGAGCGATGCGGGGGAGTTGTTCGCAGAGGACATTGAGGACGACTCGAACTCGGATGACAGCATCCTGGGGACCGGCTTTCGCTTGGGCGGGCTCAGAGAGGCGCGCCGCCTAACCCGATCGGAGGGCTCGGGCGAAAGGGGAGGTGCTGCGCGTGGTGGGGGGCTTGCAGGTGGGAATGCGGTCTCCTATATAATGAATGACAAATGGGTTGAACGATACAGGGTGTGACGCAGGGACATAGGAAAACGCACCCTCGGGGCTACAGACGGGTTGACCGCGCGTTGCCAGCGCTCGATATCCCCCTTTGATGTGGCGAAATAAGGAAGAAGACGGGGGAAGAGAGACAAGTCAGTACTTGCGCGCGCAATTGCGCGAGATATGAAAGAAACAATGAGACCTACCCCGTCGACACCAATGTGCTGCTCATGCCTAAAGCCCTCGGGAGAACCAATGCTGCCCTTGGTGATTCTCCTCTTGATAGGACGCTTGTTAGACGGGGCAGGTGGCAGCGACGCTCGGCGTACTTTTTGCCTTGACGAGCCAGTGGAGCGATTCTCGTATCCGATATCCAGATCGTCGCCGCGGGCGGAGGTGCAGAGAAGAGACAACATGGTGGATGGTGTGCGCGGCGATGCAGGCGGTGATGGTGGTGGTTGGGAGGAAAAAGCGAGGGGAGGACCAGGCGGTGCGTGCTGCTCGCCTCGGACTCAGAGGCGCAACAAGCACCCATCCGCCCCTTTAAATCATTCCGGTAACGTGGCCAACCACCGCCAAGCAACCCACACGCACACACACACGTTCATGTGAAGGGTTTTTTGCATGTATCAATTTCTATTTCGGGTGATGACGAGTAAACGTAAAAAAAAGTAAAAAAGCACAGCGGAAAATAGCAAGCTCAGACTTGCGCGTATAGTCTAGTATGTAGCATAGAAGAGCGGAAAAAAACGAGAAAAACGAATGGTGATGAGCAATGAGCGAGAGCATTTTACCAACGACCTCCGCCCCCTCCGCCGCCGCGTCCCCCATAACCGTAGTCGCCGCCGCCGCCATAGCCGCCGCCGCCTCCACCCCCACCACCGTATCGCCCACCGCCACCCCCTCCGCGGCCTCCTCGCCCACCGCCGCCAAAGCGCCCTGGGTAAGTAGAAATTAGTGGGTCAATTGATATCATCAGCTAGGCGAGTGCATAGTCGCGTACCTCGGCCACCTCCGCCGCCGCTATACATGCCCATCTCCTCAAGCTGAGGAGGAACGTCGGCCTTGGCTTCGCGCAGAATGGTCACCAGTTCGCGAGCGGCCTTGGAGTTCTCCGTGGTGAAATACGTGTATGACACACCCGTTGATCCGGCACGCTAATTGAGAGAAGACAAAACCGCATGAGCAATGAAACATCGGAGCGGACGAGTTACCGAGGGAAGAGAAGTGCTGCTTACCCCAGTTCGACCAATACGATGGATGTAGTCTTCGCAATTGTTCGGGAAGTCGTAGTTCTGGAGAGAGAGGCGCCAAGTCAGGGAGAGTCGGCAGAAGAAAAGGAAGACGGGAGAAAGGGCTCACAATAACATAACCGACGTCCTTGACATCTGCAATGGTCGTTCGAATCCCATAGGAGTCACGGATAATCAAATGGGCCAAGGTGGGAAGATTGCAACAGCAGAGCAGAGGCCAGGAGCAATAGAGATAGCGAAAAGATATAAATGATGAAAAGGGTCAGGAAACTCCGTCAATCCATATTGTATGAGAGAAAGCGGATATATGGCTAGTCATCAGCGCGCAATCAAGAATAGCGCCGAGTGACCGGTGTGAAAGAAAAACAACAGCGTGAGAAGAGCGACAGCGCACAACGATGACGCTGTAGCTCATTGAGCGACTATAAAGGCTATCTGCAGAGCAACGTGCCGACAGGAATTTCCAAAGGAGCGCAAGTTTCAAGTCCGGTCCATTCGTTCGCACCATTCATGAACAAAAACCAGGAACAACAATTGGAAATGTTCGTTGGCGGCCCCAGACCTCCCATGCAAAATTACAAGAGAAGAGGCCGGATGGAGCGCTTTGCTTGGTGAGACACGAACAGAGCAGCGGATTGCGACTTGATTTGACGACCCCAGAAGAATCTTCCAAGGTTCACAGCACGCGCAGCTACCAGTATACCTTGTCGTCAAGTGAAGAGTCCGACAGGCCAACAAGCCCAAAAGCAAGACCGCAACTGGGCCTGATAGCACAAGAACGCAGGCTATCATGACCCCGGCGCCTCTGATGTGTAGCTTGCAACTCTCTCAAGGCTGTTGTTGTTGCCCAAAAGCGGCAAATGAAGCAAATGATAATGAAAACTACGCACCGAGACCACGACTTGCGACGTCTGTGGCAATGAGAATAGGTGATCGACCGGCCTTAAATTCACCGAGGACCCAATCACGCTCGCGTCTGACAAAGAGTGATTAGTACACAGAAATCTTGTGAATAGGAGAGAGACTCACTGCTCCTTGTCACCATGGATAGCGAGTGCCGGCCAGCCGTCTTGACGAAGGTATTTGGTGATGTCGTCCGCGACACGCTTCGTGCCAACAAATATGAGAACCTTGGCACTCTCGTTGCTGATTTGCTCGAGATGTTTAAGGAGCTTGCCACGCTTCTCAAAGTCGGAGCAAACTTCAACAACCTGCTTGATGTTGTGGTTTGCTGTGAGTTCCATCGAGCCAATGTTGACTTGAATCGGGTCGGTCATAAAGTCCTGGATGCAAATTATGAGTAACGGCACACACAGAAACATGGAAATTGGACAAACCGCTGCAAGTTTTTGCACATCTTTGGGCCATGTAGCGCTGAACATGAGCGTTTGACGATCTGGTCTGATCTGGGCGAGGATCTTGCGGATTTGAGGCTCGAAACCCATGTCGAGCATGCGATCAGCTTCATCCAACACAAGGTAAGTGACACGGCGGAGATTGGTCTTTTGGCTCTCCAGCATGTCAATGAGACGACCAGGAGTGGCGATGACGATCTCAACACCGCGTTGGAGATCACGGATCTGAGGGCCTTTCGGAGCACCACCGTACACTGCAGTGTTTCGGATGCGAGAATTGGAGCTGCGGGATGGCTGAGTCAGCGAGCGGTGAAGGCAGAGCGGCTGCGCAGCATACCCAAATTTGGTGCATTCTTGCTGGATTTGAACGGCAAGTTCACGAGTGGGGGCAAGCACCAGTGCGATAGGACCGTCGCCGGGGTTCAAGAGAGGTTGGCTACACAAAATAGAGAATTAAATGCGCATATATGACAGAAGATGGTAGGAGGACGTACGCATTGATGTGCAACATGGCGGGAAGGGCAAAGGAAATAGTTTTGCCACTCCCGGTTTGGGCAATGGCAATAACATCCCGACCGGAAAGCGCCATGGGCCAGGCTTGGCATTGGATGGGTGAAGGGGAAGTGAAACCTTGCGCTTGAATGGTTTTGAGGATGTAATCGGGGAAGCCAGCTTCCTCAAAGGTGGATACGGGTCTCGGGATGCCTCGGCCTTGAATCTAGAGTGCGCATGTTAGATTAGAATCGGCGCGCCTTGGAAAGGGGCACACCTTCATTTCCTTGAGTTTGCGGAACTCGTCGATCTCGCGGTCGGTCTTCGCCGTAACGCTCGGGTGTTCGCGATAAAAGTTCTTTTCGAATTTTTCGAGGCGAGTCGAGTTCCAATCGACAGTTTTGAGTCCACCACCAAGGTTCGACATGCGGTCGCCGCCGCCGTACGAGTCGTACCCGCCGTACCCACCACCACCGCCGTATCCTCCCCCGTAACCGCCACCGTAACCGCCTCCTCGTTGGGATGACCAGTCGCTCTGTGGTGTATGTGTAAGCGATGCGTAAGACAAAAAGGAGACACAACATACCATGATTAAGAGTGTTTT